AATTTTTCACATTGGGGGTAAATGCATGGTGTAACCAGTCATAGAAAAAGTCCCTAGTGACCCATGACTTACTGTTTGCCCTCCACAGCACACACAAATTAGCCTTGAGGACATTCTTTTGCCTGAACGCTCTGGGAGTTCCTGAGTGATACACCAATAAAGGCTTTACTTTGCAATCACCACTAGCATTGGCACACATCAGAAGAGTAAGCCTGTCTTTCATAGGCTTATGTCCTGTTAGTGCCTTTTCCTCCTGAGTAATGTAGGTCCTGCTTGGCAATTTCTTCCAAAACAGGCCTGTTTTGCCACAATTAAACACTTGTTCAGGTTTAAATTCTTCACTGTCTATGTAATCCTTGAATTCCTTCACATATTTTTCAGCTGCTTTTTGGTCCAAACTGGCAGCCTCACCATGCCTAGTCACACTATGTATGCCACTACGATTCTTAAATCTTTCAAACCAACCTTTGCTGGCCTTAAATTCACTCACATCACCACTAGTTGCAGGCATTTTTTCAATTAAATCCTCATGCAACTTCCTAGCCTTTTCACAAATGATCGCTTGAGAGATGCTATCTCCTGCTATCTGTTTTTCATTTATCCACACCAGTAACAGTCTCTCAACATCTTCTAACACTTGCGGTCTCTGTTTTGAAAACAAAGCTGCATCTTTTGCAACAACAGCTTCCTTGATTGCCGTTTTCCTGGCAACTGTAGTAGCGATGGTTGATTGGGGTTTTGTATACAACCTGGCCAGCTCCGACACAAGCACTCCACTTTCGTACTTTGCAATTATCTCTCTCTTCATTTCAATAGTCATTAGCACCCTTTTTCTCGAAGGGTTGGCACTAGAAGCTTTCTTGGGGTCCATGGTGACTTATTTTGCAGAAATAAGCACCAAAAACACTGTGATAATATGGAATGTACCGAATGTATGCTTAGATTCGAGCACATTGGCTGGCTTGTAAACACTGGCACGCACGGGGCAGTTCAGGCCACACGTGGACACGTCCCGGACAAATCGCATGTGGCGGGTTTTTTAACGATTAACGAGGCAAAAATTTTGTGTTAAAATGTATCGAATACTTAATTTAACGTATACTGATGCCATCGAATACCAGGGGTCCATTGTACTTCTAGTTAGCCATGGGATGTTTAGCCTCTTTTCTGTCATTGTTTTGTTTTGATTGGGCAATGTTTGTTGTAGAGGTTTAGGGTTTTATGTAAAAATTTTTGATGTCTTTTTCAATATTATTACTGTCATCTAGCTCTCTCTGCCAATCAATGGCACCTAGAGCTAGTTTTAGGCTGTTTATCGATGTCTCATCATGCAGGCAAAATGAGATCTTTCTTGTTTCTTGAGGCAGTTTAGATAAGTTGGTTATGAGAAAGGTAGGATAGTGGTCTGTGGTGTTATCTGTGATTATACCTGCTTGTAGTGGGGATATTGTGTTGGTCCAGATATGGTCGAGTAAAGAGGCACTAGTGTTAGAGATTCTTGTTGGCTTTGTTATAGTGGGTAGCTGTTGTTCATAGCATTTGTGAAATCAACTACTGGAGGGTCGGTTGCTTGGATAAGGTTGATGTTGAAATCTCCTGCTAGTATCACATGGTGTTTATTCAACTCTGACTCAGTTATCATTTTTCTAAGGTTATTGCTAAAAGTGTAAGTGTTTGAGTGTGGTAGTCTGTAGACTGCACCAACTGCTATAGGTTTCTTAAGTGTTCTTGATGTGAATTTAGCTATTACATATTCACCATTTTCGTCCCATACATTAGATGATTTCACACATTCTAGTTCATCAGAGTAATAGATGGCAGTGCCTCCTCCTGATTGGTCGGGCCTGCAGTTATGTATGGCTGTGTAACCAGGTATGGTAAATATGTCTGTCAGATCTTGTCTGAGCCAGGTTTCAGTAAGTATAATGAAAGTTATAGTAGCATTTAGAGACTTAAGTAGTGCAATGAGGTCATCATAGTGTTTACTCAATGATCTAACATTGTACAGTGGACCCCCGGTTTGCGATGCTATTGGTATCCGATAAATCCGGTAACCAATGCATTATATCGCAGAAAATTTGCCTCGGTTCCCGATACAAAACCCGGTATGCGATATGATTCGTACAAGACGTGTCCAGTGTTTACAAGCCAGCCAGTGTGCGCGCATCTAAGGATACATTCAGTACATTCTATATTATCCATATTATCACTGTTTTTGGTGTTTTTTTTTCTGCAAAATAAGTCACCATGGGCCCCAAGAAAGCTTCTAGTGCCAACCCATCGAGACCAAGGGTGCTAATGACTATTGAAATTAAGGAAATGTGTACAAAGTGGCTTGAAGTGCAAACCTTTTTTGATGAAAATCACCCTGACACAGCTACTGCAAGCCGTGTTGGCAACCTGTACACTGACAATGTTGTGAACCACTTTAGGAAAGTCACAAAGGAACGAGAGGTACAGGCCTCTATGGACAGATATGTTGTGCGACAGAAGTCCACTGACTCTCAAGCTGGTCCTAGTGGCATTAAAAGAAGAAGGGAAGTAACCCCGGAAAAGGACTTGCTACCTCAAGTCCTAATGGAGGGGGATTCTCCATCTCAACATTAAAAACTTCGACACTCTCCCCTCCTCCCATCCCATCAATCACCACCAGATCTTCATTAAAGGTAAGTATCAATTATTCTATTGTTATTAGTGTTATTGTAATTATTATATTGCATTAAACTTAATATATCATGTGGTAAAAGTTTTTTTCATACTTTTGGGTGTCTTGCACGGATTAATTTGATTTCTATTATTTCTTATGGGGAAAATTGATTCTCTTTCCAATAATTTTGGTTTACGACGAGCTCTCATGAACGGATTAATATTGTGAACCGGGGGTCCACTGTAGTTGAAGACTGTAATGTCCTTGCTGACATTGAGAAAGGTATTAGCCTGACTAGCAGTGTAGTAATGGCAATTACTGTTTGGACTATGTGTGCTGTTCAATAAGAGGTTGATATCAGGATCGATACTTACATTCATAAGGGGTACGTAGAGAAATAGCCGTTACAATTATTAACCCTTAAACTGTCCAAACATAGATCTACGTTTTTTCAACATTTGAAAGTATGTAAAAAAACGTAATCTTTTTTTTTTTTACATTTGAAAACATGTAAATAAAACTCTGATCTACTTTTTTTTTTGTTATATTTGAAAATATGTAAAAAAACATAGATCTACTTTTGGAGCACTACACATGTGAGCGTAAATTTGTTTGGACAGTTTAAGGTTTAAAGAACAAAAATACCGAAGCAATGATGTTAAACCACTAACAATTATAAACTTATGAACTAAGATAGTTAATTTAAATCTAAAAAATAATGGAGCTACTGAAAATTAAAATAAAACACTTTAGCACCTTGATTATTTCAAAGTTAAAAGTTATGGTTTCAAGCATAAAATAAGACAGAGAATAAAACACTTAAGTACCTGGATTAGCACCTTGAATAGCACCTTAGGTGTCTTAAGTAGCTGGGAATTAATTACTGTTATTCACTAACAGTCATGAAAATATGGATTAGAATAAGGGTAAATTCTACTAAACTACAGCACTGAACATGGTTGATAATGTGTTGAGATATGTCTTAACAAGGTTCAGTCAAACCAGTGAATGAGAGGAAACATGCTAGTTCTTGATCATTTGTTATTTCAAACCTACGACCCGTGTCCGATAATTTTACAAACATAAACAGTTAAGAATAAACAGTTAGGAATAGTGGTCCAAGAAGAGAACTCTGAGGAACACCACAGGACAAAGGAAGCTATTTAGATCCCTGACAAGGGTGGAAACATTGGACATGTTTCCTTACACCTGCTGCCCTTGTTCACTGCAGTAAGTACCTGGGTGTTATCACTTTACACCTGCTGTCACTGTTTGCCTAGCAAGCAACAGGTACCTTGGTGTTAGTCAACTGATGTGGGTCACATCCAAATGAAAATAAGACAGTCTTCAGTAATGCACTAACTTTGTTGGGTTATTGTAGTTGGATAAAAAGCCAGGTTAATAATCCAAACAAATTTTATTTTATTTTACTACTTAATATGTCTGACCAGAAAGACGTGATTTTAGAAGAGACAGTGCAGGATCGTTAAGACAACAGACAAAAAATTCATTTATCAATAATCGATGATTAGTGGTGTCAGATGCTCCATCTTGTGCTCAGTCAATAGAATGGAGACCATACTAGCAGAATTACTAGTAAAAATTTGGTCAAATTGAGCAATTGCTTAAAATAGGACTCTAAAGTGGGCAAAATTGTCAGTGCATAAATTGCACCCAGACCACTAATTTTGTGTGTGCATATTTCCATAATTTTTCCATGAAATTTAACCCTTAAACTGTCCAAATGTAGATCTATGTTTGCACACGTAGCGCTCCAAACGTAGATCTAGGTTTTTTTTTACATAATGTAAAATCGAACGTAGATCTACGTTCGGAGCACTACGTGTGCAAACATAGCCCTATGTTTGGACAGTTTAAGGGTTAATATTTTTGGTGTTGTTACCTTCAGAAAAAAATTCTCTACCATTTGAGAAGAAAAACAATCTTTTTTTTCTTTTTGGAAAAATGTGAAAATTGTGGGAACATTGTGTTTGTGTAGTGTGGACAGTGAAAGTATTAAAAGTACATATATAATATACAAAAGTGTCAGTGTTACACTCACTATCAGGTATTATTATACCATGTAACATGACATAATATTATTTTTTCAACATGTCTGCCATCTCCCACCAAGGCAGGTGACCCAAAAAAGAAAGAAACACTATCACCATCATTCAGCACTTTCACCATCATTCAACACTTTCACCATCATTCAACACTTTCACCATCATTCAGCACTTTCACCATCATTCAGCACTTTCACCATCATTCAGCACTTTCACCATCATTCAACACTTTAACCATCATTCAACACTTTCACCATTATTCAACACTTTCACTGGTATTCTAGTATAATTGTTAATACAGCATGTGTTGTTTTATCAGAGAATTATATTTGCAGGTAGGAGGAGAGGCAGTGTTGGTGGTAGCTGCGACCAGTCAAGCAGAGAGTGTTGGCCACAAGCTGCGGTCTCCTGCCGCACTCGACAAGCAGTTAACGGTGCCTCTGCCCAACACATGTGAGAGAGACAGTATATTACAACAGCTTCTCTCCTGCCATAAACACAGTATGAACCAAGGAGAAGTTACAGCGGTGGCCAAACAAGCTTATGGTTTCTCCGGAGCTGATATGTGTGTGTTGCTCCGGTGTGCCTGGCTACACTGTGTGGCAAGACTACACCAGCAGGTAATGTTATTGTACTAGTTACCAGTGTACACCTACTGTACTATGCTGTGTGGCAAGACTACACCATGATGTAATGTGGAACTTAGTTATTACTGTAGCTACAAGTGCTAGATCTACCAGCAACAGCTTGCTTGACCAGGCAAGCACCAGACAAGCCTGGCCCACGGCCGGGCTCCAGGAGTACAAAAACTCTGGGAATTCATCGAAGGTAAAGGCAGCGAGGTTACCTTGATGTGTTAGTACTGGTGAAGGCAGCGAGGTTACCTTGATGTGTTAGTACTGGTGAAGGCAGCGAGGTTACCTTGATGTGTTAGTTCTGGTGAAGGCAGCGAGGTTACCTTGATGTGTTAGTTCTGGTGAAGGCAGCGAGGTTACCTTGATGTGTTAGTTCTGGTGAAGGCAGCGAGGTTACCTTGATGTGTTAGTTCTGGTGAAGGCAGCGAGGTTACCTTGATGTGTTAGTTCTGGTGAAGGCAGCGAGGTTACCTTGATGTGTTAGTTCTGGTGAAGGCAGCGAGGTTACCTTGATGTGTTAGTTCTGGTGAAGGCAGCAAGGTTACCTTGATGTGTTCTGGTGAAGGCAGCGAGGTTACCTTGATGTGTTAATTCTGGTGAAGGCAGCGAGGTTACCTTGATGTGTTAGTTCTGGTGAAGGCAGCGAGGTTACCTTGATGTGTTAGTTCTGGTGAAGGCAGCAAGGTTACCTTGATGTGTTAGTTCTGGTGAAGGCAGCGAGGTTACCTTGATGTGTTAGTTCTGGTGAAGGCAGCGAGGTTACCTTGATGTGTTAGTTCTGGTGAAGGCAGCAAGGTTACCTTGATGTGTTAGTTCTGGTGAAGGCAGCAAGGTTACCTTGATGTGTTAGTTCTGGTGAAGGCAGCGAGGTTACCTTGATGTGTTAGTTCTGGTGAAGGCAGCAAGGTTACCTTGATGTGTTAGTTCTGGTGAAGGCAGCGAGGTTACCTTGATGTGTTAGTTCTGGTGAAGGCAGCGAGGTTACCTTGATGTGTTAGTTCTGGTGAAGGCAGCGAGGTTACCTTGATGTGTTAGTTCTGGTGAAGGCAGCGAGGTTACCTTGATTCAAATTCAAATTCAAATTCAAAGTTTCTCTATAAGGATTACAATGCTGAGTTTACAGAAATTTGGTTATTGTTTGGTTTACATGTAGTAAAATTGTGATTACAGAGTGTACCACTAGAACGCTTAGCATGGCTAGGCATTTCGGGCATACTTAGTTTTATTCATAATTGTAAAATATTACAAATTATAAGGTAAGTTGGTATTATGGCTAAGTGACTAAATACTAGTTTGTGAGTTTAGCAATGTGAATGCTTTTGTTTTGGCACAGTACATAGTTTCAGTATTGGAGTATCACAGGATTCATTATTTTAAGACTGAGATTAATATTTCTGTTTATGGTCAAATGAGTGAGCGAGTGTAAGTGTGAACCACCAGGTGGTATTCGTGTAGTTAGTTGACGGGGTGTATCAGGGAGATAAGATGTTTTCTAATGGTAGTTTTGAAGGTGATGAATGTGTCTGCAGTTCTAGAATTCTCAGGTAGGGTATTCCAGATTTTAGGGCCTTTGACATACATTGAATTTTTGTAAAGGTTTAGTCGGACACGGGGAATGTCGTAGAGATGTTTGTGTCTGGTGTTATGCCTGTGGGTTCTGTCACAACTATCAAGAAAGCGTTTTAGGTCAAGGTTGATATTAGAGTTTAAGGCCCTGTAGATATAGATTGCACAGTAGTAAGTGTGGATGTACTGAACTGGGAGTAAGTTTAGATCTATGAAGAGTGGGGGGGTGTGTTGCCAGGGATGGGATTTAGAGATTATTCTTACTGCAGCTTTTTGTTGGGTTATTATTGGCTTTAGGTGTGTTGCTGCAGTTGATCCCCAAGCACAAATAGCATAGGTGAGGTATGGATAAATAAGTGAGTGGTATAGTGTGAGAAGGGCATTTTGCGGCACGTAGTATCGTATCTTGGAGAGGATCCCAACCGTTTTGGATACTTTTTTGGCTATATGCTGGATATGGGTGCTGAAATTCAGGTTGTTGTCAAGGTATAAGCCTAGGAATTTTCCCCCATTATTTCTGGTAATTAGAGTGTTGTCAATCTTAATGTTAATTTGTGCATCTCCTGCTCTGCTACCAAACATAATATAGTAGGTTTTTGTCAGTGTTAAGCGTAAGTTTATTGGCTGTCATCCAAGTCGATATTTTAATCAGCTCCTCATTCACAATGGTGTTGAGGGTGGCAAGATTAGGGTGAGAGATGACATAAGTCGTGTCATCAGCAAAGAGAATGTGTTTCAGGTGTTGGGATACGTTTGGAAGGTCATTGATGTATATGAGGAAGAGCAGGGGACCAAGGACACTTCCCTGCAGAACTCCAGTATCAAGTGGCCGTGTTGCTGATGCTGTGTCTTTAATGGTGACGTACTGATACCTATTAGTAATGTAAGATTTGAAATAAGCAAGCGCATGGCCTCTTATACCGTAGTGATCAAGTTTGTGGAGTAGGATGTCGTGGTTTACTGTGTCAAAAGCTTTTCTTAGGTCAATAAAAATTCCTAGTGGATATTCCTTATTTTCCAATGCTGTGTAAAGCAGATCTAGCATTTTTATGATTGCATCATTAGTGCTTTTATTTTTCCTGAATCCAAACTGGCAGGGGTTGAGTATGTTTTGAGCCTTTATAAATGAATACAGTCTCCTGTGCACGAGTTTCTCAAAGATTTTGGATAGCAATGGTAAGTTAGATATTGGCCTATAGTTGTTTAAATCTGTAGGGTCAGCACCTTTATGTATTGGTGTAACCCTTGCCATCTTGAGTAGTTTCGGGAAGGTGCTAGTCTCTATTGACTTGTTAAAAAGTAATGAAATAGCATGCGAAAGGACATGGGCCGCTTGCTTGTACAGTAATGGTGGGACATGAGACAGATTCCCCGAGTTATTTTTAAGTGACTTTATGATCTCAATGACTTCCGTGGGCTCAGTTGGTGCAAGATAGAAGGAATTAGGGAAATTTCCATCTAGGTAGTCCCCGGCATGGGCATTGGTATGTGGGATTTTACTGGCGAGATTAGATCCTATGTTTGAGAAGAAGTCGTTTATCTTGTTAGCTGTGTCAGTGGGATGTAGTGGTGTTTCATTAGGTTTAGTTAGGACAATATTCTTGGTTTTTCTCAGTTTGTGGGTCCCTAGAATCTGAGAGAGTGTTTTCCAGGTCTTTTTTTATATCTCCTCTAGTGTCTGTGAATCTACTGGAGTAGTATAGTTGTTTGGCTTTTTTTATTACTTTGGTGAGAGCTGATGAATAGTGTTTTAAGAGTATCTTTGTGTATTAAGCCTGTCTATATTGCTTTTCATATTGGTGTTTCTTGTCAATGGATTTCAGAATGGTGCTGGTTAGCCATGGGCAACCAAGCCGTTTGTTTGTGATCTGTTTTGTTTTTATAGGACAATGTTTGTTGTATAGTCTAAGTAATTTGTTAAGAAAAATGTCTGTCCAGTCATCAATACCATTGGCCTTGGAGAATTCTGTAGGCCAATCAACAGTCTCTGGGTCAGCTGTGAACTTCCTTACTGAGGCCTCGTCATGGAGTCTAAATGAGACTTTGTTGTATTCAAGTGGTGGTTTACTAATGTTTGTCAGGAGAGAGGTAGGGTAGTGGTCTGTAGTGCTATCTGTGATTATCCCTGATTTAAGGGGGGCTAGTATATTGGTCCATATGTGGTCTATTATGGTTGCACTTGTCTCAGTGAGCCTGGTTGGTTTAGTTATTGTTGGTATGAGAAGTGTGTTGTTCATATTGTTGATGAAATCAGTTACAGGCTGATCATCTAGTAGGCCAAGGTTGATGTTGAAGTCTCCAGCTAAGAGAAGGTGGTGCTTATTCATTTGTCTGTTTGTTATTAGTGACTTTAATTTCTCACTAAAATTTGGGATGTTTGTGTGAGGTATCCGGTAAATGGCACCGATTGTTATAGGCGTCTTAAGGTTTTTTACAGTAAAAATTAGCAAAAATGTATTCCCCATAATTCATCACTAAAGCAAGTGGTGCTAAGACAAGATAATTGGTTAGAGTAATAGATTGCAATACCACCCCAACTTGGTTTGTTCTGCAGTTGTGAATTGCTGTGTATCCTGGTAGAGGGTAGTAGATATCTATTGTGTCCTGCTTAAGCCAGGTCTCAGTAAGAATAATGCAGGAGAAGGGTGTCTTTAGTGATTCAAGGAGTGCTAGGAGGTCATCATAGTGTTTGCTTAAGGACTGATGTTGTAGTTAAGTACTGATAGACTTTTAGCATTGTTTAGGATAGTGGTGGCTTGTGATGCTGTGTAATAAAGGCAGTTACTTTCCAATAGGTTTTGATTGGGGGTCAGATTATGGAGGTTTAGATCAGGGTCAACGTGATCAATCATCTTCTAGGTTTAAATTATGGTTATTTATATCCTGAGTTGTGTGTTGAGTTCTACTACTGATATCTGTAGTGGTTGGAAGTTTGGACAAGTATATAGCTAGAGCATTTTGGTCATGTAGGGTATAGTCACTACTACACATAATGAAGTTGATGTTGTCTATGTGTTGTGCTGGAATGAACTAAAGTACAACTAGGTATAAACTAGTAATATAAAAATACAAATTAAAAATAGAACAAGTCTCTCACTTGTAATTGCACTAAGGTCTAATAATGACTTTTGTGGAGTCTATGTTTTGAGCTAGAGTGAGCTAAAGTACAATAGGATTAATCTAATAATATAAAAGTACAAATTAAAAATAGCACTAGTCTCTCACTAGTAATTGCACTATGGTCTAATATAGTGAATTTGGTGAAGGCAGCGAGGTTACCTTGATGTGTTAGTTCTGGTGAAGGCAGCGAGGTTACCTTGATGTGTTAGTTCTGGTGAAGGCAGCGAGGTTACCTTGATGTGTTAGTTCTGGTGAAGGCAGCGAGGTTACCTTGATGTGTTAGTTCTGGTGCAAAAGAAAATATATTTTCATTGACCGGAATCATTCTAGCTTCTTTCTTTTCTATTTTCATTTGACTGGAGTAACTCTAACTTTTTTGTTTCCTTGACATATTGACAGAGTGGGAGGGGGGGTGGGGGTGGGAGGGAGGGAGGTTGGTAGGGCAGGAGGGAGATAGGGTGTGAGGGAGGGAGGTTGGTAGGGCAGGAGGGAGGTAGGGTGGGAGGGAGGGAGGTTGGTAGGGCAGGAGGGAGATAGGGTGGGAGGGAGGGAGGTTGGTAGGGCAGGAGGGAGGTAGGGTGGGAGGGAGGGAGGTTGGTAGGGCAGGAGGGAGATAGGGTGGGAGGGAGGTTGGTAGGGCAGGAGGGAGGTAGGATGGGAGGGAGGAGGTTGGTAGGGCAGGAGGGAGGTAGGGTGGGAGGGAGGGAGGTTGGTAGGGCAGGAGGGAGGTAGGGTGGGAGGGAGGGAGGTTGGTAGGGCAGGAGGGAGATAGGGTGTGAGGGAGGGAGGTTGGTAGGCAGGAGGAGGTAGGGTGGGAGGGAGGGCAGGAGGGAGAGAGGGTGTGAGGGAGGGAGGTTGGTAGGGCAGGAGGGAGATAGGGTGGGAGGTTGGTAGGGCAGGAGGGAGGTTGGTAGAGCAGGAGGGTATAGGGTGGGAGGGAGGGAGGTTGGTAGGGTGGGAGGGAGGTGGGAGGGAGGGAGGGGGTGGATTTGAAAAAAAACATTTTTTGGTAATGACTTTTTTTAGATATAAAAAATATATTAATAATAATATAATAATAATGTAATATAATATCTTTAGTTACTGCAAGTACATGTACAGGGTATACATACCATAGCTGACATCAGTGACATACTACTATATAGAAAGCTCCTTGTTATGTTGAGCATTTCCCGCAAATTGGTCAGTTTTGTCCCAGGATGCGACCCACACCAGTCCACTAACACCCAGGATGCGACCCACACCAGATGACTAACACGCAGGATGCGACCCACACCAGTCCGCTAACACCCAGGATACCACCCACACCAGTCCACTAACACCCAGGTACCCATTTTACTGATGGATGAACATAGACAACCGGTGTAAGGAAAAACATCTGATGTTTCCACCCTTAATTTCATTTCATTATTGTGGTTTTCATTGTAACATTTGTTATATTTGCAGAGTTGTTCATGTACTGAAGGAGGTACACACAAGTGCTCATGTACTGAAGGCGATACACACAAATGTTCATGTACTGAAGGCGATACACAGAAGTGTTCATGTACACAAGATCTTTGTTTGTGTCGGGAGGATTTACTTGCCGGCCTCCGTAGTGTCTACCAACTATCTTAAGACACAACTACTCAGCAGTCTCAGTGGTATGTATGTTTTCATTATGTTTATATTAGATGACAAAAAGTTTATCCTGAGATATTTAATCCTCGATATAATAACCCAGGATAATCCAAGAATGGTCATGCAGTGTATGACTTATTTAACATTTCGTCTTTAACTATCCCCAGACTATATGACCCATAATAGTCCAACTAATATTTATTATTAACAAAAACAGAAGAATGGATGATGGGCTTGAACTGGGTGCATAAATTGACAGTCTGACTCTACAAAAGGATTAGCCTAGATTGGATGTGAAGGCTTACTCCACCTGGTAACAACTTCAGTCAAGTATTTCTCAGGCCTGGCTCCTTCTCAGCAAAATGAAGAATAGAAAAAGAATAATAACATACCAAACAAAAACCTTTATTAATATAAAAAATAAAATATAAAACCACTTTAAATATGAAATATTAATCCTACATTAAAGAAAAAATGAAAAATGAAAAATATAAATAATAACTGAATTCAACCTAATTTATATAGGGGTGTCTGGAGTTGGTGACACTTGTGTGTTGTTTAAATCGTAGCCGTTGCTGATGAAGGGGGGGGATCGCAGTGTTGGTTACGACCCACATGGCAAGTTCTTCACAGTAATAGCCGTGAGTATTTAAATCCCGATGACAGAAAGCAGGTTCTTTACCGCTGCAATGATGTTGGGTTACGTCCTGCAATTTCATTTCAGGTGCACAGGTAATTAAACAAAAAGGGGAAGTCTCAGGACGTTAGTACATCTCCATTCTTTCTTCTCGTTTGATTGGACAGTGACCCTCTCTGTCATCCAAGCTGAAAAGATAGACATGTTACCCACTGCTTAAAAATCACTTCTCCATAAGTACAGATAACATAAAAGACTGCTGATTATTACAACAGAGTCAACTTATAGCAAGGCTAAAAGACTAAGATTATTATTTGTCCAAAAGTGAAGCTTTCAAACCAATAAAATCCACTAGAAATACAAGGCAAGGCATGTACTTACAGTAGTGTTTGGTAGCTGTGAGTCGAGTGATTTACAGTTTTGCCAGAGCCCCACACGTCACCTTTCGGGGGGGGGGAAGAAGGAGTGGAAGGTATAGCGGGAGCTAGACTGACCCTACCTATAACAAGCAGCCGGCGGTCAAACCAACTTTCGGGGAGGGGGCGAAAACGTAGGCGGGAAGAGCGTGAGCTTGACTTACCCTACCTTAACAATCGCCGCAATGAAACTGTAGATTAATATATACTCCCTCGTCTACTCCAACGAATTAACTTTTCCCTCACACTCCACCATACCAAGACTTATAGTCAAGGAGTATAAGAAGAATAGTCGAGGAAAAAGTTCTAACAATGGAAGTCGCGTAAGGCAAGAAATCTTCTACTGACAGTCACACTATACCCAGTCATAGAAATAATTGGATGAAACCATTGATAATACACAATATGGAACATAAAAGCCTGGAGGTGCCAGAGTCCAACCTCAAGAGGCGACTGTTGGTTCCCCTAAAAGTTCTAGGTATATCCAAAGGTTGTGGTCCATTTCTAAAAATGAATTCATTTCCCCAGCAAATAAAATTTTAAGTATTGGAGAGACCCCACACAAGGGCCAAACATTCCTTTTCTATGGTTTAGTATCTCGTTTCTGGCGGGAAAGGATTTCTGGCTTAGGAAGCATACAGGGAAGGGAGTACCATCATGTATTGTGAGATAACACTCGCACCTAAGCCCGTATAGGAGGCACAGTTCTCAAACAAAAAGTTTTTATTACTATCTGGAATCTTAAATATAGGGTCTATCGAAAGATACTTTTAATCTCATTAAAACTTTTCCCGGCTCCGTCCGGAAAGTTCAAGAGATTCCTTCACAGACTTTTTAATGAAGTGCGGAGTAAGATGCCTGTAAGCTCAGTAGGTTCCGGGATAAACCGGCATAAAAATTACAGAACCAAGAAATCTAACGCATGAGCTTCTTGGTTTTTGGGTAATTTAAATTCCTATAAAGTTTTGATCTTACTGGGAGAGGCTGCAGAGAGTTTATTAGAAAGTATCAGGCTCCAAGATAGCAAATCTTGTTATCAACCAAGGAAGCATTTCTTCGCTTGGCAGTGAGGCCATGAGAGCGTAACCTAAACACAAAACAGAAGTTAATGTTTTGATATGTTCGCCCCCACTAGATGTCATTACGTAAAAGATTTAACAAAAAAAACTGAACATTTGGGCAAATTACCCAAGAACCTTTCTCTCAGTCCTCAGCGTAGGTGCACAGGTCAGTTACCAAACCGATTGGCAAATAGTTCTATACTGCATCAGTCCCATTGGTGTGGTAGGAAAAGTGGTGTACTGCTTAAAGAAGGATCTAACATTACATGATTATATGCCTGCGCACTACAATCTCTAAAAGAAGGAATGCGTCATAAAATTTTTGTGTAGATCGCTATCTATTAAGGGCATCAGAGCTCAGCATGCCCACCGAGTTATATCGCTGTAAGGCCTCTGAAGTTCAAGTAGCAAGTCTATATGAATTATCCCCCTTCTTAACGTATGACTACAGGTGACCAATATGCGATACTGAAGTCAAATGATCTTTAGTTTTTTAATAATTGTCTACCTCTCGGTCAAATGATCCCTAATGGTGAGCAGTTGAACAGGTATAATTTCCTATGTTCCGTTTTGATAGGATTTGCCATACTAAGTCAATCTTATGGACTACCGTGATGTAACACCTGGAGATAATCGGTAAAGATGTCTGAAAAGATTACTCACACATGAAGTATTTCAGTTCCTCCTTATGGTCATCCAAAGATCATTAATATTAAGGTTGGTGGCTATCTGAGTGGCTCAAAAGGAGTCACTCAAGTCAGTAGACGGTCTTCCTCATAGTCTAAGTTAGAGGTGTCAATTAGCACACCTTACATTCATCAGTTTGTCAGAATCAGGTTCGTGTGGAAAAAACTAAGTCAAAGTAATTAGCATTAACTGATTTCTTCGGTAAATTTCTAAGGATTTGATCATGATAAAGCTTATGTTTCCCCTTGACTTCTATGAGGGAAGATAGTCAACTTTCCCCACAAATTTATTAATACTTTATAAGGGCCTTTCCATGCTACTAATAATTTATTTAGATTTGATAGGCAAAAGTACAAGAACATCATCTCCTACTTTAAACTTCTCCTCCGACTTTTGGAATCAAAATAGTTTTGTACGGTCCACTGACAAGCTTAGGTTTTCGAAACTAATAGTCAGAGTCTCCTCAAGTTTGATCTAAGGTCAGGAGAAACGGTAAGAGTGGGGGAGACTGAACCCAGCACTCACCTCCACATTAGTCCATAAGTACATAAGGATGGACAGTGGAGCCTGGCCAGTCTACCATAGAGAAGTATCAAAAGGTGAAAACCCCAAAGAGTCACTGGGAACTTCCACATGTGGCAAACAAAGCACAGGTTAGGTAACGAGCCACTCCCTTAGTGTTTTTTATTTAAGGGAGCAAAGTTGCCTTAAAATGGACTTGAAATCGAATGCAGGCGCTCAATCCTCCCATTACAGCTGGGATGATTTTTTGTAAGAGAGGCTTCACCCCCCGAATTTGGGAAGATGTTGCATTGTCAGAGTAAATTGGGTCCCATGGCCCAAAAATTTTCCCTCTAGGGTCCCACTCGGAGAAGAGGACAAAAGGTTTCAGCCCCCTCTTGTAGTTATGGTTTTTTAAGGGGGGGGGGGGCTTGGGAAACTCGAAGCATAAAACAAATGTTAATATATATCATGTCCCCCAGATAAAGTAGAAAAAGGACCAACGACAAAGCTACTTTTTAAAAAGGCCCCGTAAAAGGCTTTTTGACCATAGGTACTCCCCTGTACCTTGGGAGATGACTTTTGGCAAATTTTACACATCTAAATGGGAGTAATCTGAGGACTTTTTTGGGCCAAAAATGGGTTTCCCTAATTTATTTAATTTTTACATGCAGAAATGTCCGGCCACTGGCGGGGGTCAGAGCCATTTTAACGTCTCTCCAGACTTGAACAACTAGAGGAATATTTTTCTCATCGAATTAATTTGAATACTGACTTGTACAAAAACCCTTTTATATATTCAAATTATATAAAAAAGTTTTCCCTTTTTGAAACTTGATTTGTTTAGCGCATTATGGCAATTCGAAAGAAGGGAAATTTATTTTGTAATTGAAAAAGGGATCCTTTGAATATCTAAAGGCTTAAGCAGGAAAAACCCAAGGGATGGACAGTAGAAGGGGCTTGGTCGAGCCCAGCAAGACTTTTTATTTATCGGAGGTGAATTTCCTTTCACCTTTTCCATTTTTTAAAACAATGAACCCCAATGGTGGAAATTTCTTTTTAACTTTCCTTTCCCCTCGGGGTAAAAAAAGGAAAAAGGCATAAAAAAGGGGGGTTTTTTAATTTTTTCCAAAAAATAGGGAATTTTTCCCCCCAAAAAAAGACCAATTGTTCCCATCGGAATTTCAGGGACCCCCTTAAGAATTTTTTCATTCCAAATTTTTTTCAGGGCCAACGAGAATTTTTTCCCATAAGGAAAGGGAAAGGGATAAGGTCCTTTCAGCCCCCAAACTGTAAAACCATTACAAAAACCACAAAGGTAGGAGTGCTTAGGGGGCCCACTTTAGTTAAAAAAGTTTTTTTAAGGTGGGAAACAGCTTTATCAAAATTTACATACTTTTCTCCTGTCTCAAAATGTATACATTAATCCATTACTGTTCCGGGACAGGGGGGTGCTCCCCGGGCTTACCCCAACTCTCCTCCCAGGAAATCCGTTTAGTCCCTTAAAACCCCACAAAAGACAAACAGGAAAAAAAGAAGTCATTTTTTTTCCACTAGGGCTTTGATTTCTTAAGGTCTGATGAACCCTTCCCTTTGGGGTTTATCCCTTTAGGTCTTTATAGGAAATTTGAGCCTCACATACAAGCAGCCCCACAAACCCCCACCTTAATCAATTGTTCTCTGATGAATGTTCGACTGATGGGGGAAACTGTA